CCCTAGGGGTCTTCAAGAGGAGGTTAGATAGGCATCTAGCTGGGGTCATCTAAACCCAGCACTTTCCTGCCTATGCAGGGGGTCGGACTAGATGATCTATTGAGGTCCCTTCCGACCCTAACATCTATGAATCTATGAAAAGAATGGGCTATTTTTCCACTGGAGTTTGTTTGAAAACAGGTTAAACGAACATGTTCCAAGCAATGGGTCAGATATATTTACCTAGCCATTGAGCAGTCCATTGGACAAGATAACCTCAGGGTGCCTTGCAGCCCTGTATTTCTAGGACTTGCTATGACTTTTGGGTGAAACAGAGGGAATGCAATTTCCCCTTTTTCTTTTGGCAGCAGTATTATCCAGACTTACTTCCGTGTTCTCTTAAGGACCAGAATTTGTCATTCTCAGCATAAATGGCCCCTGAGGCAAAGGGTGAAATCTCTCACCAAAACCAAAATTGCCTCAGAGGTGCAAAGGGGCAGCAGGAAGGACCACTTGTAACAGAGCAGTTCCCAGGGGTGGTTCTCTCCTACCTTCCAGTTCTAAGACAGGCCTCATCAATTTTTTTCTCAAAGAAAATGTTATTTTGTTCACTCTGGAGTTTACTGATCTTTTTTGTGAGGATCCCCTATACCTAAACATTTCTTTTTACTACATAGCAGATGGAGCAGCTGAAATTCAGGGGCATAACAACCTCTCATACAGAACAAACTACGAAACCTAGTCACTTTTGACTCATCACAAGAATAACTACCATAAATGTATAACATTAGATTTCATTAGTTACTGGATTGGTAAATATCCAGTAAGGTAAAACCTATATCGCTAAACCTGATACCATGAGCAAGCTCTCTCTCTCATATTTGATGATAAGATGGTATATAGGTCAGTTGATTGCTCCATTTCCATTCTATTAGGAGGCAAAACCTCAAGGCACAAGGGTATGGATTCAGCCACCATAAACTGCTATGCCACCAGAAGTTGAAGACATAGACATTCAAAGGAAAAATTTCCTCATGAGCTATACTACTTTGCTTGTCACTACTGCATGGAAGTACTTCATAAATAGCAATTTATCTTGACTCAGCCCCTGCTCGGTAGGGTATGATTACCTCATTTTAGAGCTAGGGAACTGAGGCACAGAGATTAAGGAGAAGGAGATTTGCTAGTTTCATATATTTGATTTGAGACATGTAAAACAAAGGACTCAAAAATCTGGTTATACACAACACTGCATATGTTCATAGAAGAGCTCCCGCTGACCTGTTACAACTGCAACTACTGTCAGCTTATCAGCAAATTAGACACAGGGTGTCAACTGAGTACCCAGAAAATGAAGACCATAGGGTTAGCGACCACCTTTGAAAATTTTGCTTTAAGTGATTGCTTACCATCCAAAGGCAGGAATACAGGTTTCCCTCACTTTATGCTGTACATGCGTTCCTGGAAAACGGCACATAACTCAAATTCGCATGAAGGGAATCCACTTTACAATGCAACAAGGAGGGATTCGTTCCAAGAAGTCAACTTTAATGTCCCCCAGACCCATTTCAACCACTTTTACATGACAATTTTGGTACTCACCAACAGCAGACAGTACACATAAGAACAGGGTGGTGGTGAATGTTTAGTGTGCATGGGGCGAAGGAGGCTGCCACTGCACTTTGAGCCCTGTTGCCCTGAGAGCTGTGTGCCGCCACATGCGTGCTGCTGCTGAAAGGGCAAGGGGCACAGTGCAACTGCAGCAGGGAGTAAAACGCTCAGGCTTCCACCATACCGATCGCATAAAAGTGAATTTGCCTTGCATATAATTAATTTTTGGTATAAAAAGGGTCATTGCATAAGAGCAATTTCGCACATACAGAACCCACATAAAGCAAGGGAAGCCTGTAGAATCTAGTTACCCATGGGTGAATTGAATGCCTTAACCATAAAACTATACTCTCCCTGAAAACCCCTGCTTCATTCATATATAATGTCAAAATTCTACAAAAAAAGAAGCAGCATTCCTACAGTCAACAGCCTTGGGTGAGATAGGGGTTCTGTGTAAGCTACATATCCTTGAAGAGTGTTTTTCAAATGCATATACCAGGTTGGGGAAAGCTCAGGTTGCATAGACCATATTATTTCTGGCATTATATATCTTCTTAGTGCAATATTTTACAACCTGAATTTTTTTTTAATGCATTTTACATGCAATATTACAACAGTGATATATAGTATACAGGGAGATTTACTGCAGCTGTGAAATCAAAGTTAAATTCACCCAACAGAGTACAAAAGTGGATACTAAGTTATAACAAAAACAGTGATAGCCACAGTACATTACAGCTGCAGCATATCATGATTTTACTCTAAATGCCCTTTTAAAATGGATTAAATTAAGGGCAGTACGCCTGATCTCCCCCATACTTCTGCAGCTCACATTTTCATGAAAACTTAGTTTCCTAATTGTCATATTTTGCCTGTAGCCTTCACCTGCCCTTAAGAAGCAAATGATAAATCAATACATAATCATCATTTTTAAACGTTCTAACTAGAATCCTGCCAGAACTGAATTATGCGCAAGCCAAGCCATGAAAAGTAGTAGTTTACCTTCAGAAAGTATCTTGTTATTGATGTTTCTCTCCACTTTTGAAAGAGGAGTAGAAGAAAGGCGTCTTGAAGGAGAGACTCTTTCTCGTGGTGGAGTTAGATGATTTTTCAAGACATCATTGTGGCCAGCTGATTCATCATACCTCTGGTCTCTCGAACTGCTAAAAGCGAAATGCTGGGAACCAAGGTTGTCTTCTACAAATAAAACTTCACGCTGAGAAGTCAAAGGGACTCTACCAACAGCACACTGTAAAGGTATAGCAGATTTAGTCTTTGTTGGTGTGCTACTTGCAACTGCACCCTGAATGATTCTAGTTTGGTAATTTCTGTAGGCTTCTTCCAAGTACTCTGCCTCTTTCTCTAGCTCTTTTATCCTAGCCTTGGTTTTGGCTACAGATTCAAGATCAGAATCTGAGGAAGTGCCAAGTGTCCGTGAATGCTGGTGATGACCAACTCTTAAAACAGCATCTGCTTCAATGATATCAGTCAAAGCCCGGTTCTTCAAGAATATACCATCCACATAAATGTCATGAGGTACAAATTTATCACCAGTGAAGTCAATGACAGAACGATCAACAAGCGAAGGCTTAGGATTCCGATACACTTCATTCTCTAGAACTATAGAAACAAGGGGGTTGGGGGGGAAGGGAAATGAAATTATTTAAATTCTGATTTTGGTCACATGATTCAGATGTGATTTACATTTCATATTTGCAAATTTAACCTACTGATCTTAAATGTAGGATTTTTTTTCAGTTAAAGTAGAAAAGGAAAGCAATTAAAAATGGTATTACCATTTTTTTCTCACATACAACATGCACCTTTCCCCCACCCCCTACCAAAAAAAAGGCTGCTGGAAATTGCAGTATGCATTATATGTAAGAAATACACTTAGAAAACCAACTTCCAGTTACTAGACAAAAGCGAATGTAAAATCTGTGTCTGACTCAGGGAGCAGAACAACGAGCAGGCTCCTTCCTCTAGCCTAGGGGTGGGCAAAGTCCGGCCCATGGGCCGGATCTGGCCAGCTGTGCACTTGCACTCCATTTCCCAGCAGCCCCTGCCCATGTGGCTGGGGCCGGTATCCATGGAGACCCCAGCAGCAGGCACCTGGGCCAGGGTTTCCAAGGACACCAGCCCCAGCAGCACTGGCAGGCAGCAGCAGCAGCTGGGGGTGGGGGGTAGGGAGAGGGTAGAGGCAGCCATGCCACTGGGAGGGGTGGCTGCAGGGGGCTATGGAGAATTTTGGGGTGGTTATAGCCCCCTCAAACCCCACCCCTGCTGGTAGGGCACAGAGCTGCTCCAGAGCCCAGCTGGGATCTTGCAGTGGTGACAGCACCTACAGCCTGCATGCAGATGCTACGATCTGCAGCCTGCATGCTCCAGGCAGGGGCGTGCAGGCAGCAGATCACAGCTCAGCCCCAGATCCAGACCACGCTGTCACCGCTGCAAGGAGCTGAAGCACAGCCATGATCCGCTGCCTGCACACCCCTGCCCAGAGCATGCAGGCTGTGGATTGCAGCTCTGCCCTGGCTCTGGATCATGCTGTCACTGCCACAAGATCCCAGCCGGGCTCCAAAGCAGCTCTGCACCCTGCCAGCACTGCTGGGGCCAGTCTTCACAGAAACCCTGGCCCTGCGCTATCACAGAGCAGCTGCTGCTGGGGTCTCCATGGAAACTGGCCCCAGCCATGTGGGCAGGGGATGCTGGAAAATGGAATCCGGCCACCATCTGGATCCACCATTTTGCCTACCCCTGCTCTAGCCACTACCACTCAGTTACTTACTACGTGTTGTATGTAAGAAAATACGATATATTACATTTTATGTTGCTGTGTAACTTCAAGTCATCACTGATTTGTTTTTGTAAGCAAATATTTAGATCCAACAGATGCAAAAATATCAAATGCTTAAAAAGGCTAATATTTCTTTGGTACTTAAATAATTATTGTACCTAAAACATATTAAACTACTCAGAGTGCAATGTCACATGGCAGCAACAGCTCCTTGAACCATCTCTTACACTTTAAAAGTTTATAAATGTCTGTTTTAAATGATAAGTGTAAAATGTGGCCTTCATACTGTTGATCTATAAGCTAATTTTCTTTTGATATAAAAATACTGAATGTGGTTTATGCTATTTTTTTTATAATAGCATAAAAACCTGTAGTTTTGCCTTGCAGGCAGTTTTCCCAGTCTGGAAGGGAAAACTACAAGTTTCCCCTTGCAAGCTGGCACAGTTCCAGTGTGCAAGGGTCTGCTTGGGGCTGGGGAAACAGGTCACAGGGAGCGCCTTGTGCATGTATGCATGGATACATGCATGAGGCAACCAGGCAGCAAGGAGATCAGCTCCTGCAGCTCCTTCCAGGTAAGTCTATGGAAGTGGGGGGGAAAGGATCACAGGCAAAGCATGGGGTGGGGTGCAGAGGGCACAAATGTGTGACAGGGGTGGGGGAGCAGAGGTGACATGTTGGGGAGCGAGGGGGCCAAGGCAACACAGAGAAGGCATGTGCCCCACAAGATTTCTGCGCCCACCACCTGCTGCTTCCAGGTGGGCAGAAGCTGCCTTCGCAGCCCAGTGGGAAGGACCTGGTGCAGAAAGGAGCACCACATTGCCATGGCTGCCAAGGTGAGGTGCCCCCTGCCCACTTGGCAGCAATCTGGGGCACAATTCCACTGCCACACCTCACTTTGGTGGCCATGGCAGCACGTTGCTCCCTCCCATGCCAGGTCCCACCAGGGCCTGGGGAGAGGCAGGGCACCAGCATATCAGGGCTGGTCGGTGCTACAAAGTAGCAGTGTTGGGGGGCAGCCACAGCTGGACCTGTGTTTTGGTGAGTGAAGGGAGCAGGGGGAGCGAAGGGGACAAGGGGAACTCTGATTTTCCATGATGAAAAAAACCAAAATCAAATGCCAAAATATATAGGTATTTAGAATGCATGTTATTGTTGTGATTGAGGCACTGGCAAGCTTCCAAATTGCAACTATATGAATAAAACATTGTGTTCAACAGATACTTCTATCTATCTATAGATAGATATATATGAAACGCCACTATCTATCTATAGTGGCATTTCATTTTAATTGTGGAAAAACATGGACCGGGGGGGGGTGTCAAGAGAATGCTGGGATTTTTATCAGAGAAGTTGGGATTTTTAAACAGAGAAAAACAGGATTCCAGCTTACTACACACAAGAATCTCAATTAGCTGAAAATTAAAGTTCTAATTTGCACCCTATAGAATTCACACCCTATGAGTTATTACGCAGATTCACAATCTATGAGTAATAACTTATTACTCATAGATTGATCCCTTACTGTCTCAGTTACTTTTCAAACCATTGGAAGAGTTTGTACAAACGAAAAGGTCTTTATACATTCAGCTAAAAATCTAAATAATACACACCTGTTTGGGTTTGCTTCAGTTGCACTTTCAGATCTTCAACCTGAACATTTAACTTTCTGATAGTAGCTTCACACTCTAACAGTTGGCTCTTTAATTGTGTGCACCGCTCAACCTGCAAGAGATGTTGAAAGGAAAATCTTATCCAAACTTTTCTTATCTTCAACACGTGTTTAAAATTTCTCTTTCTACCCATGGAGACTTATTTCTTTCAAAACTTTATTTCTACTACCACAGATCGTTTTGTTTAGTATAAAATGTGCAGCGGCTTTCTAGGTTGGGTTTTTTCCTTCTTCCAGGTTCATCAGCTGCATTGACTTATAGTAAACTAGCACTGATACTTCTATTTTGCGCCAAATTGGTTGAAAAAATATTTTTTTGTGCTTAAACAATGAAAAGATAAAATAAAACAAAGTACCACCTGCATTCATATTAGATCCGTGTTGGGATGGGCCTGTTTACAAAATGACATAAAAAAGAAACATTTCTCATTCTAATAAGGTAAAAAATAATTTACCTCCATTTGTAGTTGCTTTTCTAGGAGTTGTTTGTGGTTTACAAACTCTTCCTGTTCCAACTTTCTAGCATGTTCAGTTCTTTTCAACTCCGCTTGGCAGGCCAGATGTTCAGTTGACGGCTGAGTTAGTTCTGTCATATAAAAGAACAATGTCAAGAAATAGTTTACAATATTATAAGCAATATACTCTCATTATTTATAGTAACCCCTTTAGGAACAAAACTGAAATACTTTTCTAGATTCCAACAGATCTATATAGGCACATACTGCTGTAGTATATACCAGGACTTTTACTAATGGTAGGCTGCCACTGGCTGCTGATCCTACGTGCTTGGGTATTCTCACTTTGTTCCTCCCTCCGGTGCAGCACCAACTGGTAGGCCTCACCAGCTTCAAGCCTCCCCTTCTACCCCACAAACCCATCCACACAGTACCTACGAGAGACCCAATCCTTGCTATCCCATTGCTGGTCTTAAGGAACAGACCATGGTTTTTCATGGGCTACTTTAATCTCACAAACCGCAGCTCTAATGCCTCACAGCTGCAACGGGGAAAGATTTGGGGCTCCAGGAGTACCCCATGGATGGGTTTATGACATGGAGAAGCTTGAGGTTGATGAAGCTTGACAGTGGTGTACTGGAGAGAGGAATGGTACGGGGAGGGAAACCCAAGCAGAGGAGATCAGTGGCCCATGGCAGCCTGCCACCAGTAAAATGTTACTGACCCCTGGTATATAATACAGATGGCTTTCCCTTGGGTTGTGAAAGACTTTCAGGTCCGCCTTTCTGCAAAATTGGTTAGCCTGGAATATCTCCTGCCCTGAGCTCACACTCTACCACTGGCAATCAGTACAGAGACAAAACAACAAAAGGAATATTATATAGGAGAAAACAATTGTACAAGAAAAACTGACCATAAGTTTGAAGACCGAACAAAAAGACAAATTAAAGTTTCTTAGCCTCTCATCTGACTATAACCTAGTCCTTCAGAGAGACCTGCCAGTATTTTCAAAGATCAGCCTTTCTGCCAATCCTGCCAGCCCTGACCACTGGGGACCTGACCTCTCGCAGAAATTGGGATAATCCAAAAGCCCCATCTCCAACACAGCTCCCTAAATACCTTCAAACCAGTCCCCTCTCCCTAAAACAGCACTGTCCCTATTCCTCAGGCATCTCCATTTTCTAGATATTTACTTCCTAACAGGGCAGCTGGAATTCTTTTAGCTAAGGGTCCATTAGTCTGAGATGTCTTAGCTACTATAGGGTTGTTTTTCCTATTACAGGTAGATAACTACTTGGGTGCCCATCCCACCAGGAGTCCGGTCAGCCTGTGATTGGGAATGGCAATGGTCTCTTACCTAGTAAAACAATGGAAAGATACTTAGCAGGTTTGCCCATCCCATTTTCCTTGTGTATTTAGCCTCATTTATTTAGCCTCATTTACTTTGGCTAAACCAGTGGTGGCAAACTTTTCAGTTCTGCAGCCTGCATCAGTGCTGCAGGATTGGCTCATGAGCCCAATACAAAACACATCAGATCAGGCCCCAGTCCTGCATGACATATCTTGCAAGATTAGGTCTGCCTCCCCAGCCCCAGCCCTGGGAGTGCCAGATTAGGACTGCCACCCAAAACTCAACCCAGATCCCATGCACACCAGAATCAGGCCTGCTACTCTAGTGCCAGCCCTGCATGCGCCAGACGCATGGGACCACATCATCTGGCCTGCAGAGGTTGGAAATTTGCCAGTGAGGAAACAGAAGTGTTACTGCTACTGTCTTCCCTGGCCCCAAATTTCCAGACCCTTGGGAAGCCACGTGGGCCAGATCCCTTGGCTCCTCAGACCAGATTTAGCCTAAGGGACAGGAGTTGAATATTCCTGGGCTAAATCATGTTCAAAATCATAAAGATATGTACAGACAGCATAATGTAGCCATACAGAGAAAGGAGTGACAAAAACGAACACAGTATAACATTAGTTTTTTTTAAATGAGACCAAACATACCATATCAGTGAAATTAACTAAAGGCAGTGAAACAAACAGCATAGGTCTCCAAATACCTCTATGTACAAACCCCTTGAATTATACTGCGGTTCGTGACACTCACCTCCCATGGGAGATGCCACTGCTTTGGGGAGAGGTGACTGCACTGGGGGCTGTGAGGCTGATGTGAGGACAACGGCTCTCCATTCTGGTTGCCACAGACCAGATCATCCATAGGTTACTGATCCTTGGTATACACTAATTGGGATTTCTGTTTCTTTTAGGGACCAAATTTTCTGAGTGCCTCTCTCAGAGTCAATAAGACCTGGGTAGGAGATTCCTACATGGCAAGTAACATACCTGAACATACTTGTCCCGTCTTCTGTACACCTTAATTTGATGTGCATTTCTGCCTTTCCAAAACATGTTCTACAGTCTATCTATACATGTACAACACAGTGGACACATCTACATGTGCCCGTACAGCACCATTGTTACTACACTGACATTTAGTACTTCCTCTTGGAAGTGCTAAATGACAGCGCAGTAACAGTCCATACCACGCTGTGCTGGTGGAAGTTATTTTTAGCTGCTACATTGTCATAGCAATGCACTACAGCAAGGGAGTGCATTGCTACGGTGACCAACATTCCCTCTAAGGTGTAGCGATCCATGAGCGTGCTGCTTCGGTCCCACCTCCCCCTTTCGCTAAGCCTGGATCTGGACTACACTAAGCCTAATAGACTAAAATCCTCATGCAATGGATTTTGTAATAATCCTCCAAGCACAAGACTGGGGGCTGGGGAGCGGAGCAGTTCTCTGGACTCGGTAATGAGGACTCCCTATTCATGATACAGAAATCTTATGTCATGGTTAGACAAGGTGCTTTGGGTAAATGTGATATAATTTACCTAAAGCATCTTGTCTGCCTATGTCCTTAGACCAAAACAGCTGGAACCAGCACCCCCAAACTACAACATGGTTAGGAACAATTCCTTGCGTCTACTCCTTTTCCTCTCAGGCAGACCCAGGTTCTGCACCATCCTGCTCTGCCCCGTGCACTTTTACCTGCTGCAGGTAACCAAACTGAATCCGACCGTGGTGCATGGGGCTGTGTAAACACTGTTGCTGAGAAAGCAACGTGCTGTCTGAAGACGAGTGAAGTGTCAGGGTGCGCTCTTGGCTGTCTTGAGCCACTGCTGCCTGCAGCATATAGTCTCAGATCTAGGGAAGCCAAGTTCTGCATGTGTCCCTACTCCAGGAGCGAGGAGGCACATGGACTCAGGGCTGGGGGGTGGAGCAGTTCTCTGGAGCCGGCAGAGCCTGCACCAGCCCCAGCCCTCGCTCCCACTTCTGGGAGCAAGGAGGCACCTGGCTTTGGGGCTGGGAAGCGGAGCAATTCTCCAGTGCTGGCAGAGCCCGTGCCAGCCCCCAGCTCTAGCCCCAGCCCCCGCCTCACCGCGCTGTGCCACAGCCCAGCTCCTCTCCAGGCGGGTGCGCAGCATTAATAAGTTATTGCGCTGCATGGCATTAAATTGTGCGCAGCCGCACACACGCGCACCTTGGAGGGAACCTTGACGGTGACATAGCTGTAGCATCACAGTTTGTGCCTGCCGACACTATGTCACTGTAGCACATTGCTACATAGTCTCATGTAGATGCACCCAGTAGTTTGTTATTCTACAGAGACCAAATATATCAGAAAGGTCATGTGCAGTAGGTTGTCCTCTACTAGCCACAATAAATAAAGCTATTATTGAAAATATTGATGCAAGTTTCTGGTAGACACAAAGGAAGGGAGAGTAAGGACAGGAGGGATATTAATTTCTGCCTTCTTTCCCCATCTGTAAAATGTGGATAATGGTAATTCCTTTGTCACATTGACTTATTTAGACCATAAGCATTTCATGGCAAGGACTGTTCTCTTAATGCTTTCACAGTGTCTAGCACAATAGGATTCTAGATAAAGGTACAAATATTACATTAATGATGATAATGATAAATAACTAGCCCAAGGTCACCAGGAAGTCTGTAATAGAAGTCCAAGACTTCCACAAAGTCCACAAGTGTATTTATAACCAAACTTTACCTAGCAAGTGTGATGCTAAAAACTTAAGAAAAAAGAAATATAAAGATGAAAACAAAAAGAGGAAAGCCAAGTATAATGAAGGTTTCTTTTAAAACATTAGTCATTTCACTTACATATATTAGTAGTTTACTAACAATAGTAACATTAAGTGTTTATTTTAATGGGAATTATATAATGTTCTACCAAATAAGGAAAAAAATAAAAATAAAATCATACTCTCTCTCAGATGCTGGTTTTCATTACGAATTTCCTCCTGCTGTTGTCTAAGTAGTTTATTCTGCACCTGAAGCTCCAGTTTCTCTTCCTTTAACAAGGAATAGTCTACAACCTCTTTCAATTTTTCTGTCAGTGAATGATTCTGCTTGCTTACCAACAGAACTTGAGTTTTTACTGACTCTAGTTCCAGCTGTAGACAAAAATAGTGTTAGAAGCTTATAATGTTAGAAGCTTATTTAAAATATTTTTTTTTAAATCTACATGTGATAAAGGGGGAGGTTTTTCCCCCCCCATCATCTATCATTAAATTACTACCAAAAGCAGCATGTGCTCAGAGATGAAAACTAACTATGAAGTTGATTAAAAGCAGCCAACACTGAACATGCCTCTAGAACACATGGCCCACACTGGGCAAACATAATGATGGGAACCTACCACAAGAATAGGTTTGTGCAGCCCATCTAAATAATACATACAATAGTGCCCATTAAGTGAAGTCTCACTCACTGCCAACATTTCTTCAAGTCATGGTGAGCCGCATCATTTCATACAGCTCACCCAGAATCCTTCTGTTGCCCTCTATCTCAGCCGGATGCATATGATTAATGTGGCCCACCCTCCCTGAAGTGAAGCCAGACCCATTTGACCTGTGCCTCATCTTCATATACATTTTTGGAGCATCCTAGGACTTCTAACAAAAACACCTAGTTCCAGTCTTGAGTGGGGGCTAATTAGCACATGGATTCTTTGTTGCGGGAGGCATAAAATATCTGGAGTATACACACATACTGAGCAGTGCTGAGTTGCAGGAACACCACGGATTGAAATGCTCTGAACTTTGGTGGGGCCTGGCCTAATGAACGATATAGTAAATCACAAGTCTCACTTCTGTGTGCTCAGGGAGAGCAGGGTAAGGAGAGGCTGAAGGAGCAGCTAGGGGAAAAGTTGGGGGGAAGCAGAGAGCAAAGGGCTACCTGACTTCCCAGATTTATTTTCCCTGTTGCAGCAGGAGGAGGGGGAAAAATTCAAGGCAAGACTCCAATAATTACTAGATCTGGAAAATGATAACAAATTTATAAATTTTCTGTATATAGAATGTATTTATTGGGGGGGAATCAGCTTATAATCAAGTTCATCTTCTATTAGATGGTAAATATGGTAATATAGCACAATGATGGAAAGTTATTTTATACATCTCTCCTGAACATGTACAAGAACACAGTTCAAATGCACAGCTGCTCTAAATCTGGACTCATAATTACCTCCAGTTCTTTCGCACGAGACATTGCTTGCTTGAGTTCTTCCTTTTTAGAATTAACAGCAACAGCCTCTTCATGCAAAAGCAAGGCCTTCTCTGTTGGGAGGATAAAGAGCCTGAGTGAAAATTTGCTAACATACTACACACAAGCATCTACATTAGCTGAAAATTAAAGTTTGAATTTACACCCTTAAATGTTACGAAAAACTGGAATTAAGGTTGCTCAAGTATCTGCCCCTTTGTACTTATGTATTAGGATGCAGCCTTTAATTACATGATCGCATACTATTTCTTAGGAATGTTTTTCAGGACACCATCATATAAATTTAAAGATGATCTCCTGACCTGCCTCTCTCAAGAGCTTCATTTAAATGCACTATGGTAAAAGCTCTGTTATCCAGCATCCCCCAGGAATGGGGGGTGCCAGATAACAAAATATGCTGGTTAACTGCGACACCCAAACAGGCGTCTTTGCCTGTTCGGGCCGCTGCTTCTCCCGTGGGCCCCGCAGGACAGGGAGGCAGCCCCCGTGCAGCCCGCCATGCGTGGGGGGTCAGCAGCGCAGGCCGCTCTGCCCTGAGCCGTGGAGGCTCAGAGAAACTGGAAATGCCACAGTGGAACTGACTTATTGCCATTTTAATATAAACTACAAGATAAACAAGAGATGTGGCACTTAAAATTAAAGACATTAGTTACCTTTATTCTTTTTTTCATCTTCAGTAACTTTAGTGGTTCTGGCTATATATTCTTCCTTCAGGTCAAGCTGGTATCTAAGAATAAAAGAAAAAAATCCTGTAATTTCCAAAAACCCAAAAGAAAAAACCCCCTGTAATTTCCCAACTTCTACATTAATGATCAAAAGTTTTATATCTATTAATTCTAGTAGAACTCAAGCTCGTTATCTTGTAAATGATAGGAGCCCTTAGGTCCCACTGGGCGTATCTACACATTTATTAATGCACCTTAGGTACTGCACATTTAGTTTAGTACTTGCTTAATTAAGTACTAACTAAATATACAGTACCTAGAGTTACTGTACAGTAGTGCCGGCACATGATTATTTAGTGACACCTACTGCACATTAGCCTAATAACACTGCGCAGTAGGCTATTAGCATGGTTTTTGCTGTGATGCACTATTGCACAGTGTTATTAAGCTAATGCGTAGTAAGCATCTGATGTAGATGTGCCCGCTGAAATCTACCAAGCTTAGGGTGTGTAGTTCATAGAATCAGACCTTACTTAGATTATGAGCATTGTGAGGGAGCTACATCTTCTTGTGACTTGATAAAAGTTGAAATCACTGAGGTCCTGATACTGCTTGTGTTATTTGAAGGTTAATATAAAAATAAACAGTTCTCCCATTTCTAATCCATTAACTTCATTTCTGCATGAAAAAGGGAAGTCTATCCTCATTTCTCAGCAAATATTAATCACAGAGAATCTAATCATGGTTCATATTGTCTTCATTATCTCAAATATTTTAATGCATACTTTTATCATTATAACTAAGCATGTACAAATGTCAGAACATGACCTTATAATCAAATCACTTATTCATGAAAATAATGGGCTTTTCCCATTTTTATAAACCAAAAAATATTAATCTACTTTCAAATAATTATATATAGCTCTGCCATATTTTTTCTGGTTTTTTTCTTTTGATTCCAGTTACTAGTTCTCTTTAAGCTTTGTACCTTCATAATACAACAGTCAATCACTGGTGTTATAGGTTGTATAGGCAATAATATTTTAATGTCAGCTTCAATATTATAGCTACAGGACAAAAGGAACATTGATTGTCAGAATTTTTAAAGGAATTGTGTCTTTCTGCACATATAGTGCCAAAAACATTTTTAAAATATCTGTAATTTTAATAAATAAATACACCATATTCTTAAAATAGTCCTTCCATCTTAAGATTCAAAAGCATTTAACAAAACATTAGTAGATGAAGCTAAAGATTACATTTGTGGACAGGGTTATGGTTTAATAGCTATTAGCGGAGCAAAAAAAAAAAAAAGGAACAAAAGGTACAGGACAGCATCAAACAGACAGTTTTTAAAAATATAATTTTTATGATAGGAGCTCTTTTGAATTGATTTTTAAGTGTGTAATCATTTGCTTCTGCAAGTAACCACTTATACCCTATTAATATTGGGTTTGTCCCCCCGATTCCTCCGTGTCTGTCAAGCAGTGGCCAAAATAAATGACCAAAGCTACTCTGCATCTACCTGTCCAGCTACACAAATTCACATACTTTCTTCCTCCCATACAGAAGCCTGGAAATCTGACTCACTTAAAATTCTAAAGGCTTGTGGGCAGAACATCACTAAACAGGGTGCACTGTTTGCAAGCTGCAAATCTATTTCTGTGTTTATAGTAAGTGAGAGGTAAACAAGTGAAACTCGTTAAAATAAAAATCTCTCTCTATATATATATACACATACATACATACAAATATGTACACATGTACTTATACACATACATATACACAGATATACACACACACAAAAATTCTTGCTTCGCTACAGCTCTCATACGTCTCCTACAGAATATATTATTCAATTTTCATATAAAATATTTAGTCTCTGTGATAAAAACAAATTACTTCAGGAGTTCATTCTTAAGCCTTTGGTCATAAGTCTCCTCAATATTTTTCACAGCAACCTCCCGACGTCGCAACGCATCATCAATAGCCTTATTTTTTTCTTCCTGAAGCTTCTGTGCACTGAAATAATCAAAAACATATTGACAGTGAGCAATTATATGAACAATGACACACCAGGACTTTCAGGAAGTATTTTTTTAATAACATAACATTTGAAATAAAAAATGTAATCGGTTAGTTTGGGGCAATTAAAAATGATGATTGGCATCTGTCATTACAAACAGAAAACAGCCAAGCCTAAAAAGTTGTTTTATTAAAGACACAGCACTAAGAAACTGTGCAGTTATCCTGTAGTGGCCCAGATTCAGTTTCCCAGATCTGAAACTGCTCAAAACTCAGAAGCATTATAGAAAAGATACAGATTATCTCTGCAATTTCAGAATGGCCAAGGACTATACTACTTCATCCATACCCTCTGCTGGCTAACAAAGGAAGTATTTTTCTCTCAGTAAAAAGTCTGCTCTCCTTTCTTCTCACAAAAACATGATGAATAGAAAAAAACAGATTGGGGAACTATCGAAAAGTTGGCAGAAATTAATTTTGGGTTATTTAAATTACGAAAGGAAACACAATTCTACCAAGCAGATATTCATAGTTAATATTACGGGGAACACACACATCAGTACAAATGTAAACTGTCACTAGAGATGCCTTTTTAGACCTAATACTACATTTTGCTTTTCTAATTTCATGACTTCAAAGCAGACATCCAGTTCCTTGGTTTCTCTGAAGTAGCGCCAGCCTCTTTGGTGAGAGAACAAGAAGCCTCTCTTAGCATAGGAAGCCTCTGCTGCTATACACAGCTGTATGGTATTACTCAGCAGATGTAGCATATAGTAGTGAAATAAAAACATATTTCAATTAAATACAATATGCCACATCTTGAAACATGTTTTCCAAAAACAAAGCAAGGCAACAAAGCTAAATTTGTGACCCTGAGTAACTCACATTTCAAAAGCTTCAATTCTTTGCTTCACTTCTGTCTCTCTGGTTCTTATCATTTCAATATCTTTCAGCAGACTTTGTCTTTGTGCATAAACCTCCTTCGCTTCAATCTATATCACAAAACATTATGTACACTTATTTTATTTGTACACTACATACAGAGGATTTAAATGATTACCAGTAAATTCAAACTTAGTAGAAATGGAAACAAAACTCCGATCATATAAAAATTAGAAATTTCAGTGTCATAGATTACTTCAAGCACTGCTTTGATTCTGATAAATAGCATTTGTAAAGCTCACTGCTAGAAGTAACAATTTCAGTAATAAGGAGATAGAGTCACCCATAATTAAGTTCCTTAATTAAGAATTAACACATCTTGAAACACTGGTGACTTGTGACTGTTAATAATTGGGGGGGGGAAGGCGCATAATGTATAGGTGCCAGTGGTATGCAGTGGGGTACATGGTAGGTAATCAAGAGACAAAGGAGTTTTGATTTCTCTTATAGAGCTAATTTTAATGTCATATTGATGATACTATGTAATAGCAGATGGAGAGTGTTCTAAGAAAGAGCTACACATGAAGGAAACTGGCAAGAAAACTGGTGTGTGGAGCAGAGGGCATGTGTGTGTGGGGGGTGGATGTATGATGCAAAGGGTACGTGGGGCTTTCTGGAGCTTAGCCCTTGCCCCAACAGTGCAGGGCTGGTCCAGACTCACCAGAGTCTGGCCCCTTATGGCCTGGACCGGTCCTGCGCCATCAAGGCCATGCATCAAGTTCTGGCGTACCCGGACCGCCCCTGTGCCATTGGGGGCTTCCTGATGGTGCAGGGCTGGTTTGGGCTCACCATAGCTTGGCCCCAATGGCACCGGGACACTTTCCAAGCCCTGGCCCTCTAACCACCCCTTCCCCTCCACCCCACCTTGTCCCATAGACTTACCTGTATGCAGCTGCCAGAACTGCTTCCACCACCCTGCCTGGCTGTACTGCCAGGTGCATGTATGCACGCACGCACATACGCATGGTGCCTCCTGTCCTACAGCCCCACATTTTCCCCCTTTACCTCCCTGCTGCGTTCCATAAATAAAATCGATGAACATTAAATATGGGAAGGGGCAAGTGCCCCCCCACGTTTCCCCCCAATGTCCCCCTGATGCATCAGCAATGTCTTGAAGTAAGATATTACTGGCAATCAGTTAATTAATCAAAAATGTTTCAGAAAATTGCAGAAATCAGAAGTCACATAAGAGGAAAGATTTGTTCGTAACATTTACAGTATTACTACAAAAAATACAAATTTTAGGAAACACCAAAAAAGTATATAGTGATACACACGATGCTCTGAGCACTTTAGTAAGAGTGGCTCTTGAAGCCACTCTAAAACACCTTGCCCTCTACTGCCGAAGCACATGTATAAACACCCTTTGATTCTGCAATTTTGAGTCCAGCCAAACAAACTTTCTAAAGAAATAGTTTAGCTGAGGATCACAATATACATCAAATGTTATATCCATAGCCATCGTTCTAATAAAAATATTCTATAGCTCTTTGAAGAAAACTAATTCTGGTGCACTATACAATGTTAAAAGACTTGCTGGTTGTTGTAGCTGTGCTTTGGATAAATAGAAGAATCTGATACACTACTTTCTTAAGCATTAACATTTCTTTAAAAATTATGTAGTCATTTTTCATCTCTAATATAGAGCAAATCAGCTTAGTAAAGCTGCTGGTCACTGCTGGCAAAACCCAGCCCAGAAACTAATGAAGCTGTGTATACACATTCAAATAATCTGGGAGAAATCTCCCAGGTTTGTTCTCCTGGTAGATAAATTTTACCTAGAGCTGCATATATAGAAATTTTAAGGCGGAGGCCCTGAAGAACAGACAGGCTGTAAGTGCTGACACTGTGCAGGTGTGGGGGTGGTCTTGTGCTCTGCAGGCTCCTTTAGTCTACCTAGCAGAAGATGGCAGCAGTATCTAGGGCAGCTCTGATTAACTGCCCCAGACCGTTCATGATTAGCCTATGTCTCCCTGCAGCACAACATATGGATTGTGAAAGGAATGTGTTCTGTTCCCTACTAGAGCAGCAAAGTCTAGGAGTGACACAGTATCCGAGGAAGATGGGGGAGATGCTGAAGAACTATGTTCTCTTGAAAGAAGGGCACAGCGAGTACAGACATTCACGCTCTCAGGAGAAACTCTCTTGGGAGTAATGTAACCCTCGTTGTTACCCAGGTGATTTTTCTCTTGGACTGGCCATTTTTACTCTGGGAGAAAAAATTTGAACATTTGTACACTCATAATGATTTCTCCTAGAGTGCAGCAACTCTACCTGGAGAAACTGAATATCTGTATGAGGCCTAAGTCCACACAGAATCCATACCATTTCACTTGGTAAATATGCTGATCCAGTATTTTTAACTACTGAATTAATTTCATGCCCACAGAAGTAGAAGAAATAGCATAAGACAGGCATCTCTTTTCATGAAAGTTTATAAGAACAAGACTATGAAGGAAACATGAAGTGTCAATAAAATGATTTTAAATGTGGAAGGAAGTCAGTAGCAGAGTGATCACAGAGCTACACTACAATGGGTATTGCCTAACAACGTTAGATGGCCTAAAACAGAGGTCAGCAATGTTTTCCAGCAGCAGGTCAGAGCGACTCAGCTCACATTGAATGTGGGCAGCACTAGGATCCAGATGCCTAGATGCAGCACTAGGACCCAGCTGTTACCTAGCATGGACAAAGCATCTGGCTGTCCAGCTGTGGTGTGACACAGTGCAGTGCAACCGTGGGCAACACCCCATGCTGCTATATGACAAAAAAGCCGATGCACCATGGGCCAGATCTAGGTTGCCAATCCCTGGTCTAGAAAAAGAGCTGAATGGTAAGGTGGCAAAATCTGTAAATGACACAAAATTATTTGGTTAGTAAAGACTTGAATAGACCCATCAAAGCTCAACAAACAGGCACACAATGGCTGCGTCTACACATTTGTTAATGCGCCATAGTTATGCCAACGCATGATTTTTTAGTGATGTTTGCTGCGCAATAGCCTAGCAATGCTGTGCAGTAGCATATTATCACAGTTTCTGCCCAGCACACTACTGTGCAGTGTTATTTGGCTGCTATAAGCATCTCATGCAGATGTGCCCTATTAAAGACAAAATTCATTACAGACAAGTAAGTAGTAATGCAGTTTGGAAAGAATAAGTTTAATTATAGCATATACATTGTTCGGTCTTAGGTTAAATGTTATCACTCTGAAAAAAAATACTTAAGATTAATGGACAACTTGGCTAAACTTCTGACCAACAGAAGCCAAATAAGATGATAAGTTATATTAAAAATGGTCAGCAATATTTTGCCACCCTGGGCCAGAGCTTGCAAGCCACTCTCTGCCACAGACTGCAAATCTCTGGTCCCATCACCCCAGAGCTCAAGCTGCCTACACTCAGCGAAGATATGTGGCCTCCCTGCAGCGAGATGAACACTGACATAAGGGAGAGGGCTACTGAGAAGGGTGTTACAAAGGGGATGGGCAACTCAGCAGATCTCCATGCTGCCTGATTCTCCATGATGTCTCAGGCTGGGTTGGACCTTTCTGAGATGGATCCAACCTCTTTACACACCAAATCCAGGCCGGGGGGCCGTAGGTTGCCATCCTTAGTATAAAAGAAAGGTTTTCTATTGAAAACACAGTGTTTATGGTAAGAGTATACTAAACTATCCGAGAGAAAAAAAGGTTCTAATATAATAACAATGTCTGGTTTTGTATTTTGTCCTATTTTGTAGCACTGCTTTCAAGCCAGTCTGTTTACATATTTATATTGCACTCACCCCTGTAGTTAGTAAGCATGTTCTTCAATGTAGTGCTTTCCTGATATAGGTCTAAAAAAAAAAAAAAATCTTACTTTTTTCCCCACTTATCACTAAAGTGCAATCTGAATGTAGGTCTTCTAAAGATAAAGAAAGGGTGGTTCCAATAAAACACTTAGCACTTGCTCTAATTTTTATCATTAAACATTACCTCCTGTTGTTTTTGAAGTCTCTCAATAGCATTCTTTTCCCGAGAAATCAGAGCTTCAGACTTGGCTTGGTGTGTCCTTTCAAGCTCATGCCACAGTTCAGAGATTTCTTTCTGGCATTGTGTTTTCTCCTCCATTCTAATCTTTGCTATTTCAACCTCTTTAAAATGTTGCAGCTTTCATAGATAAAATGAAAAAAGTAAATATAACTATAAAAAAATCTCTTTTCTCTAGGTTACATTTTATGTTCACATACATGCATGTATTTGCAAGTAACGTTTTTGCACTATTCATCACAGCAGCCTAGAAAACTCCCTTTAGCAAAAAAAACACCAACATTGTAGCCAAACTTATGCCTCTAAGCTATTCATGATAAAAGCATCCTAGAAACACTTATGATGAAGAAATTTTAGGCATTTTTCATACCTTTCACTTAGGATTACAACACAGATTACAAACACATGTAATACTAACTTTAGGCATAAGCAAACTAAATATGGGGATTAAAGGGGTTCCCCACTATGACTGATAACTAAGAATGACCACAGTCCTTAATTCCTTCTGTTACAAGTTCTCCATCCCTATCCTGTTCCCCCGCAAAATATATTTATCTTATATTCAGATAAATGGAAGGAGCAAAAGTGCCATGCCTACTGGAATCCCATCTGCAAGTCAAAGAAAAGGTCCAAGAAAGGACATCTTGGGGCTAAAGACTCTATATTTATGGAGCCATAGAAAAAAAAGAATCCAAAGCTAGGGACCTCCAAACACAATTGGCAGCATAGCCGAAAGGGAAGTCTGAAGGTTTGAAAGAAAAAGTTAAAAAGAGCATTTCTGCATGGGGGAGTGTTTTTAAATGTGCAAAAACGAATAGGAGTATAAAGGAGTATGAGAATGCAGAGTGCAGGTGTGAAAAGAAAAATGAGGAGAAAAAAATGAAAAACGGGGAATGGGGGAAATGTGAGCACAGAGAGAAGAGAAACTGAATTGAAAAAAAGTACAGTGCATCAGCTCTGAATGGGGAATTGGAGACAACGCACGCACGAGCTTTTCCACGCTTAGTTAAGTCAGTACAATCCCATGAGTGCACATACTGGAAGTGGTTTTGAAATGGCTTATATCAATTTACTTTAAATTGATAAGGAATCAATTTAAGCTAACTTAATATAAAACATTTCTAAACCAATTACCCATATAGGAGGGTTTATGCTGTTACCTAAACCAAATTTGTTTATAAACTTCCATTGGCTTTAATAACAACTAAGGCAATGTCCACAGAATTATACACAGAATTCTGTAGCAGTGCCAGCAACTGCTCAAGGTAGACAAGGCACCAGGTAAGTCTGATATTTTTAGCACCTAAAGACAGATAGAAGTGATTTTTTTCAGAAGGAACAAGAAAACATACAAACAATATTTTAAGAAGATATTTGTTTACACATTGTGTTTTGTGTTTAAGAGCAGAACTCAAGGCTATGCCTTATAGATGCTGCTAAAAAGGGTTTGTGGTTTGTTTGGGTTTCACCCCCCACCTGAGAAGACTGCATGCAAGTGTTTGATGGTTAAAACAGCACAAAAACAAAATGCATTATTATTTATTCTCTGTTTGCTTGTTTACTTGTCTGTAATATGGACAAACTTCGAAAGCGGATATTTTGCATGCTAATGGTGTTAGTGGAAAGATATGACTTTATATATCAGGGGGCTGAAGATTAACTTCTGACTATAAGTTCTAGTATGATCTGCAGACGTATATTTTCAGCATGACCTAATGAAGTCCTAGTCCTATTTCAATATTACAGAGAACTAAGAACATATTTCTTCTGCATCCATACTCAGATTTTCAAACACAAGGGTTACAGATCATAGAATCATACAGAAATAGGGCTGGAAGGGACCTCTCTAGTTCACTCCCCTGCCAGAGGCAGGATCATCCCTATCCAAGTTATCCTATACAAATCTATTGAGTAATCTGTTAACAAAATTACACGGTCAACTCTCCCAGGCCCACGTGGCAACCAGCAAATACCCACAGCAGAACATGGGCATGGCTATGCCTAGATCATCTCCGATCAGTGGCTGTCCAACTTCTTCTTGAGCACCTCCAATAATGGAAAGTCCACAGCTTCCCTA